AGAGTTTGGAAAGACATCAGGAGAATCTCTACTCTTCTGTGACAAATGCTGTGGAGGTTGGGTCTGTCTCCACAAACAGAAGGGTCCTGCGTCTTAGCCAAGTTTTGAAGGAAGAATAAACCCCCATTATTCAGCAACCTTGCATTTACTGTTTTAAGATCTCTTTAATGATTAAGTGATGACTGTGGTGAAGAAGAATTCACACTGCACCTTTGACATTCAGAGGCGGAGAGGTTTGGGGAGGGGATTCCATGGTTTAGGCTTTTAACACATCTTGGAATTCCTTTGATATAACCAGGAATGTTCAACTTGCCATTTTCCTTCTCACATATAGGCTTACTGCTGTAACATTTGACCAACCAAGAACATTCATTGCTCTACTGTCTGAAATTATATCTTTGAAAGGAAAACAAAATCCCAATAATCCCAGGTTACAAAATGAAATGCTTGGACTTTTTTTTGCGCATGGTGAGTGGAGTTTCTCAGAACCGGTTCTACTCTGGAAACAAAATTTTTGCCTAAATGGATGCTTCATCATTGCTTTTGATATCCAGTAATAGTGCCAGCCATATTCTGTCTGTAGCAATCTTGCTTAAGTCAGAAAGGTTTGGTTTTAAGTTCTACGCCTGGAGCACAAAATAAGAGTTGACAGTCTCCTTGCAGTCTTGAGCGTGCTACACGATTGAGGGTGCCATTGCTCAGACGAGATGTTAAAAGTAAGGCCCTGCCTGAGAGTGTAACATAAAAGATTATGTGAAATAGGTGCCAGGGAGTAATCTGTGATGTCCTCGTTAACATCTATCCCTCCACCAAACAGATTAGCAAGTCTGTGCACAAACTGGCTGTCAGTTTCCCTACCCATTACAGCAATGAATACACTCCAAAAGTTGGTTGTCAAGTGCTTTGGGTCAAGTTGAGGTTACGGAAGATGTGGTTGAAATGCAAGCCTGCTTTTTGTACTGATTAATTTTCTTTACTCTGCTTTTGTCCAGCAGACTGCATGATATATACCTGCTACTCACATGTACAATCCTTTCTTCCAGTTTCCAAAAGATTAGGATTTGCAATTAAGTGTAGGAAATTCAGCAAAAAAGGTTTTTGAGGATCTCTGAGCCAAATATTAATATGCTAATCAGAATTGTAATATGCACTCCAAATGTGTATCTTCTGCCTGACTAGACACAGATGTTATTATTCCTTTTTCAACTTGTTGGGCTCCTGTGATCAAACATTAAAAAGAGGAATTAAGTAAATATTTGAACACAAAACTAGAGAGATTCTACTTAACAAATAAGAATAGAATTATTTTCAAAAAGATTCTGGGACACACAACCAATAGCCAATTGTATTGTTAAAGGTAAAAATAAATTGGCAGGATATTTAAACCACAGCAGCCCTATACGCTGTGAATTTTCCACTCCGCAACAATTCCTCATCTGTCAGGGCTTCAGTAACAGTCCAATGGTTTGCTCAGGAAAGCAACAAAAAACTTACCCAAGTCTTCGGAGGAAGCAGTTCTGCCTCGGGTCTAAACGTCAAACTGGACTAGAAATTTCTTTCAAGAACAAAGCGTTGGCTATTAATCGTTTTAAACAGGGTGATAAACTCTGCCTAAAATAAAACCAAGCTGTGCTCAGTAGGAACACCACTTGAGTAATAGCAAACATTGGCTTTTAGTTGAAAACGCCCAGAAATTACTCACAGAAATAATGTTCTTTGCAAAGAAATATTAGGTTGATGATTGATGCTTCTATTGTCCATCCAAACACAATCAACTGATCACGTGGGCTAACCAAGGTGAACCTGGCAACCAATCATTTTGTTCTTGCTTCTGCTAATGAAGCTAGGCAGTTACTTAGATAACATGTTCTGACATAGAAAAGGTATGTTTATGAGTCAAATGGGATATAGGATGGCCAGTTTAAACACTCTCTCCACAGAAATTCCAAATCTTACTTGCCCCATTTTGTTTTCCAAACTGACATTACTAAGCATTCATATCTAACACTCCTCCCTTTCAAATCAGGCAACAGCCTTTGAATCATACAGCAAATATGAATAAAGGCACATTGAAAAGAAGCTGGTGTGAAGTCAAAAATGGCATATGACAGATTTTTCTTTCTCATTGATTGACTGATTGGGAAAGATCAGTCAATTGAGTGAGTTATGCTCCACAACAATACTATCAAACCATAATTGGCCGCTTGGATAATCTTGTTTGGCATAAAGTGAATACCATAGCTACCTGCATAACAATAACTACACAGGGCTCTTGTGGCAAAGTGTTAGTGTCCCTACCTCTGAGCTGTGATGCCTGTGTTCAAGTTCCACCTGCCCCAGAATTGTGTAATAATATATCTGAACAGGTTGATAAGAAAATATCAACAATAACTACACAAAGTAATTCATTATATGCAAAGTACTTAATGTTTGAAGTGAGACCCACCTTTTGTTTCTCACTGTCCCAATCTTTCTTCTTGCTTTCAAACCATGCAATCATTACTACACCAAGCATCATCCCTTTTATTCCTTCTGAGCCCCAATATGTCCAGAACTTCTCTCAGCACTCCCAATTGATTGGAATCAAGACTCATTGGAACATTTCCCGCTCTGACCCACACAGAATCCCCGTTCCCACATCCACAAGCATTTATAAACAAAACCAGGAGGATTTTGTTCCTTTTTAATCACGCCAATGAATTATCTCAGCAATACTTGTCCTCCAACCAACTTATCAAATGGATTATTTGTTCCTTGTCACATCAATGTTTGTGGAAGCTGGTGTCCAAACTGGCAGCCACATTCCAACATCACAACAGTGAGCACTCTCCAAAAAGTACTTCCTTAATTGCGAAGTGTTTTCCAATGTCCCAAGATCACAAACAGTGCTAATATAAACACAACATCCATCTCTCCCCCATGCTTCATTGATTTGCAATACATTGCAAAGTGGAATCTCAACTTTAAGTGGGTTAACTTGGGGTGGGGATGATGAGGGATTGAACAGGTTTCCTTTGTTCACCTGGAGAACATATTGAAGTTAGTTAAAGCTTCAAGGGGACAAGGGCTCCTTCTGCACACATTCACATGTTCCCCACGACCCTTCCACCTCCAACCGTTATTGGTCAGAGGACCATCAGCTGGGAGAGTTTAGCACAACTCAGTGTTAACACATCCCAAATACATGAAGGTGTACTCACTAAAGGACTTGCAGCATGACTGAAAAATGTTGATGGAAAGCAAACACTGAAAAGTCCACTTTGTAGGGAAAAAAACAATCCATTCTAAAAAAAAATTTCTGTTTCTCACGAGATATTTGATTTTATCTTTTTTAAAAAGTAAACCTCAGAAGTTAAGCCATGTTCTCCGCCCATTTTGTTGGGTGTTGTGATTGGCAAAAGAGGACAAAATCTTTCCAAGTATTTAGCAGGGAAATGGACAGGCTCTCTGCAATGCCAAAATAAAATGCAAGCATTAATGTTAGTTGTTAAGAAGCACCTTATCTTTCACAGTGGTATTTGCAGCTGGTTACGCTTCAACAGCTGGACGACTAGCATCCTTTTTAGTGAAAAAAAACAATTTAACAGTCAGAGAGCGTCCAGAAACATTGGAGCTTCTCCAAGTTAAACTGATGAGAAAGCTACACAGGGCAAAGTGAGTGGTTTGCTCAACACGCGAGCATTTAAGCAGGTTTGAATGAGTCTCTAGCCAGCTGTTATAGACATTTCTTACCCCAGCCCTGTTGCCCACTCTGCCAATTCGTTCAAATCAATTGGTAAACGAGAAACAAACACTGACATTCATGGGTGCTCTCAGTGATCTCACGAAGGCCATTCTGAAAGGTGACATTGATGACCCACAAGTATAACTGAAACATGCAAAAATCAATGGACAGGATGAGACCTGTTGGCCAATCAAGCCTAGCTCACCTTACGATTGTTCCAGCATCATTACTAAACATATCTTTCCATCCCTCTCTTCCTCCAGAGGCATGCAATCTCCAAAGAGACATACACCTATGGCCAATAAAGGAGAAACAAATCCTGCAAAGTTCCTTCTCGATCCCCTTAGGCAATACAAACTGGTTCATGAGATCCAGGAACACCATTATGACCTTAGTACATTGTAATGTTCAATATAACAAGGCTGTGTTTTTGTAAAATTGAGGCTTGCATAAACTGCAGCCTTGAGTTGTTTAACTTACTGTCAAATTCAGAACTGTTCAAAAACAAGAAGTTGTTTTTCCATATGTTCAATCCAGGTCACTGTTGGCGTCTGCAGGACAAGGGATGTAAATCTGCGCTGTGGGACTCACAAGTGCTTGTACTGCTGCTGATTCTTGCCAGTGGTGCAGCGATAAAGAAATTCGACAGATGAATCTGGGAGAATCTGTCACAAGTGCACTGACCATAAGGTAACAATGCTAGTAGGTAAATACCAGTTGATGCTGCTGTTTCTGGAGGCGGATTTCTCCTGCAGGGTTCAGTGCCTTCCAGCCATGTTGTAGCCAACAATATCCTTGTTAGCCAGCCTTTGCTGAAGGTCTGGCAGCCAGAAGTGAAGTTCTGAACTACAATGTTTAAACAGCTGTAGATGCACAAGCCAACATTTTATCTCCATATTTCTCGATCTGCGGGACTATCCCTCTAAAGGGTAATCTAGAAATCCTTTTCCTTGAACTAACAAAAAGCATTCTTTTTTAAAAAGGTTCCAGCCATATCAAAAAAATGTTAGCTTCTGGTCTCAGTGCACTTCATTTAGAGATATTCCAGGACTTTGGTACACAACACTAGACCAAGCAGTACATAATACTGGACTAACAGCATGTTACAGAAGAACAGTAGGGCACAGGAGGCTGCCATTTGGTTCATCATTCCAGTACTGACTCTTTGAAGGAAGTACCTAATTCATCCCATTCTTTCTCTATGGTCATTTTCTCCAGTCTTTCAAAGCCTTCAAGGTTAATGCCGGACTTTTCCTACTTAAGGCAGTCCAATTCCATCTAATTTGTCTCACACATGTCTTCTTTTTCCCTCATTATGAAAAACTTATTTTTCACATGGGACACAACGCAAATGTGAAGTCTTCTTTAGCAGTACCTGGTGGAACACATACAGAATGAACTCTGAATGTACAACAATGGAGCTCACAGTTCCACAAGTTCTCCTACCTCTATCTTTGGCTTCTTTGCACTGGAAGGAAGTTTGAAAATAGAAGCTTTACTCACTGGTTAGACTTGCAAATAATGTGTCTTTGAAAATCAACAAGAAAAACTCGTGTCAACATGGAAAATGATGCCATTTATCTCAATTGGGGAGGTAGCTTATTTCACAATGAATGTCTCATTAAGTTGGGTAAAGACCATTGATATTTGTTTGCAAAGTTTACAGTTCTAATAAAAGTGAATAACTTGGCTGGACACAAAATCGAGTTTTCACATGTAACACTTACTTTAAAATTGAGAAGATAAGAACAATAAAGAACACAAAATGCTGGCACAACAGAGGTAGAAGCAATCAGTATTGAAAAGGAATCTATATTCCCCTCCCAACTGAAGTGCTTAGCTCTTTCCATGTCATTCTCTATGAAAGATCTCCTGTAGGCAGAATGATTTCTCATCCAGTTATGATTTTTCTAATTTTATGTTGAGGGCCAGAACTGATAAACATTTAAAAAGGAGATATTTCTGCAGCAGTGGAGAAAAAGCAGATGAGTTGGACAAATTGGACATCTCTTTCGATACACTAGCACAGGCAATGATGGGCCAAATGATCTCTTTTTCAGGTGTATGTAATTACAAAGTGACAATGAGGGGCGCAACTGGGAGTTGGAATGGGCACATTCCCGTGTCCACCCCCCAGCCCTTTATCCCCTCACTCACTCAGACTTAACCAAGAGTTGGAAACCACAGTGGTACAAATGCAGTTGATAAAGATGGCAAAATATTTTCTACTGTCACACAGGAGCATATTTGAAATCTTGGGTCAGGAATGGATCGCTTCTAATTTCAGCGACTAAATTAACTCTTTTATATGTTAATGATTTGAAAAGGGAGACTCAACGCACCGAGGGAAGGCGTTTACGTGGCAGTTTGTGACCAGTTAACAGGCTGCCAACGTGCTTTAGTCACTAAGTGAATAACATTATTCCTGCCGAAACAGTGTCCTGCTGTTTGGCAAAAGTACAGAGTTTGGGAGGTAACTGTAATGCTATAGACTCAACAATGACTCAATTCAGAAAGACTGAAACATGACACTTTCAGAATATTAAACACTATTTACATATAAACTACCCAGACTTAAATATGGAAAATTGTCTCCCTTAGCAAAGGCCACTGTTCTCCACCCCCAACAGTACAAAATATTGCACCCCAAGGCACAAAGAAATTCTGATTCTAGCCAACAAAATGCAAACAACATCCTTCCTTCTGCTTAACTCAGTTGGTGCGCCTGTCTGTCGGAGTCTGTGCGCCTGTCTGTCTGTATGTGCGCGTGTGCGCCTGTCTGTCTGTGTGTGTGCATGTGTGCGCTTGTCTGTCTGTGTGTGTGCGTGCGCGCCTGTCTGTCTGTGTGCATGTGCGCCTGTCTGTCTGTGTGCGTGTGCCTGCGCCTGTCTGTGTGTGTGTGCGCCTGTCAGTCTGTGTGCGCGCGTGTGCATGCGCCTGTCAGTCTGTGTGCGCGCGTGTCTGCACGTGTGCGACTGTGTGTGTGCATGCGCACCTGTGTGTGCACGCGCCTTTCTGTGTGCGCATGTGCACACCTGTCAGTCTGCACGTGTGCGCGCCTGTCAATCTGTGCGCGCGTGCGCGTGTCAGTGCATGTGCGCCTGTCAATGCGTGTGCGCGCGTGCGTGCGCATGCGTGCCTGTCAGTCTGTGCGCACCTGTCAGTCTGTGTGCGTGTGTGTGCCTGTCAGTCTGTGCGCGCGTGTGTGCGCCTGTGCGCCTGTCTGCGCACGCATGTGAATGAGAAAGATGGGGTAAATTTCAGGGCTAATTGCCTAGGCATGTTCTATTCCGAACAAACGTACTGCCCAAACTCCACCAGGCTCTGGAGACTTGTCACTAAACATTCATCTTCACTCAGGGATATAGAGTGAAGGGAGGGAAAACTGGTACTGACTTTTAATGAAAACGGGAAGGTTTTAAATTGGCAAGATCTTTCGTAATCCAAAATTTAAAAAAAAATTACTATCATTTTTGTGGAGAATGGCTTAAATAGAAAATTATTTGAGGCAGTAGGGCAGCAAGGTGAGCAGATGCAAGAATTCTAGGGTAAGTTCATAACTTTCACAAACAATACCTCTGCAGTGTATACGCTGAATGGAGAATTTATTTTTTGGAGTATTTTGCTGGTTACAGCTAAAAATGGAAGGTGAACTTGAAGTAAAGTCTAGCCTGAAGTGGTTGCTTGGGTGGTAGTGGAAGTCACCTATTCAGGATGAAAAGTGGTAATATCGTGACCACCTACCAAACAGCCAATCACTAATTATTGTGGGCAATAGACAACAGAATACCCAGGCTGTTACTGAGCACTGTGATATCCACAATGACCTGCAATATCCCAGGATCCACTGCGATCTCTGCCAGCTTATCACTAGGAGAATTAAATTGCCTACATCACTCACTGAGCGTTCGGGGCTGGGTTTGTTTCAGAGCTTTTTCTACATTCATGTAGAATTAGTTAATTCGAGCAAGCAGGATCTCCCTGCTCTCACTGCTAAGCATCTTGAGCATAAAACATCCAACTCCTCACAAGATAATTAGCTAAATTGAAACACAGAAGACTAACGTATTTGAAATTAATCTCTGCTGACAGATGTCAGGTCTTTGAGAGTCTCTTGAATATAACGAAGCCCAAAATGGATTCCAGTTGGAGCTCTTTTTAAATATGAGACACCCTCTTGACTGTGACATACAACAGCTTCATTAAGGATTAGTTATTAATTTTAAATCTGAGATTGATAAATTTTTTGTTAAGTAAAGATATAATAGAAGTTTATAAAATAATGAGGGGTATAGATAGTTAATGGTAGTTGTCATTTCCCTAAGTTGGGGGATTTCAAGACTTGGGGGCACATTTTTAAGTTGAGAGGAGAGAGATTTAAAAAAACTCACGAGGAGCATTTTTTTTTTACACAGAGGCTGGTTCGTGTGTGGAATGAACTTCCTGAGGGAGTGGTGGATGTGGGTACAATTACAATGTTTAAAAGACATCTGGGTAAGTACATGATTAGGAAAGATTTGGAAGGATGTGCGCCAGGAGAAGGCAGGTGGGATTAATTTAGCTTAGGTTTATGTTTGGCATGGACTGGTTGGTCCGAAGGGTTGGTTTCTGGGCTGTATGACTCTGGTCTACATCCCTTAATACTATCACAAAGGCAAGTATATAGAGTTAAGCCACAGATCAGCTATGATCTCACTGAAAGGCAGTACAGGCTCAAGGGGCTGAATGGCCTTCACCTGTTCCTATGATCCTAGCAGGAGGGTGGCACTGGATTGAGCTGACATGCTGTGCATCAATGGCAAGAATTTCCCCTTAAGTCACTTATAAATCAAAATATCATATTTAATGTGGTGAACAGAAAAATGTGGACTTATAGAGACTCTGACTGCTACAAAACATTCAGGACATTTTCATCATCATCATCGAGCAAAATAACAACAGCATCAATTACAAACCAAGGTAGCTGGTAAGGATGTCTTAAATAGATTACCTCTAAAAAGTTGAACAATGGGGTGACTAGAAATACACAAGTACTGGTGCAACCATATATTTGTGGTCAAATGTAGGAAGCTCCCCAACTGCTCCCAACGCTGTGTCTAAAGATAGCCGAAAACTTACTGACCATTATACAGTCCGTTTCAATTTCGTAAAGTTTTCTCATTTATCAGCTGATTTTTTTTCTTATACAGATACTAGATTGTGTCAGAATTGACAAACTACTTGGATGCCCATCAGAATATTCTAGATGGAGATACTGAAACAAAGCAAATGAATATTTATAATGGGGGGGGGGGGAACGCAAGAGGGAAGGAGCGTAAAAGAGCAAGATCAAGACTGATGCATAGATCACTCAATGCCTTTCCATCCCCAGTTGGGACAGACAGATGATGCTGCCCAATGACTGGAATGTTTTCAGCTCCTGAATGATTTTACAGGAGAATTCATAATGTCGGGAAGAACAGGCTGTTGTTGTGAGAGTAGACATGCTAATACGTTTATGGGAATTGAAAATTAAATCCTGTTGAAGCAATGCCAACAAAAAGTTGTCAGGCTGATCGCAGTTGAGGTTAGAAGCCAAATTAGTGGATCACAGTCTCTTTTGAAAGGACAAAACAAAATCCTGCTGAAAATGAAGCAGTGATAACGCCTAACAACAAAACACAGGAGTCAGGAGCAGGAGTAGGCCATTGGGCCCCTCAAGTCTGCTGTGCCATTCAATAACATCATAAGAGATATGATTGTGGTCTCAAGTCTATTTTCCCATCTGCCCACAGAATTCGAGTGCCTTATCGGTCAAAAAATCCCTCTAACCCAGCCTTGGATACATTCAATAACCCAGGCTCCATTACTCTTGGTCGATGAGAATTCTGCAGGCCCTCCAAGAAAATATTTCTCTTCATCTCAATCTTAAATGGGAGATGCCATCCAGAGAATGAGATTGTTACAAGATTCTGAGATAACTGGCCCTCAATGTGACTTACTGAAAAAAAAATGTTGACAACGTGAAATTCTCTGCATAAAAAGCGTACGGAAATGATCTGGATAGGTACCTCTGAAGCACTTGGGTGAAAATATTTTGGTATCAATTTGCACTTTGACAACGTGTTACATCTGAAAGACATCGGTACAACCTTCCACACACATGGTCAGGTGGCTTACACTTCAAAACCTTGAGGAATTATGCTGATATTTTTGGTCTGCAGAACCTCAAGCAGCACACCTTAAAAAAAAAAAATCACCTTGAAAAGTGATTTTAATAATTTGAAGCCGATTTGAGAGAACTGAATTAGGGCATCCAAATAGTGTGAGAGGATTATGCAATTTCATACGTATGAATGTGATGTCGTTTCCAACAGGTCAAGGAGACAAATGTGC